CCCTCTTCTGCAGATACATGCACTCTGCATAGCACATACTATGATATTTGAACTTGCTTAGTTATGTACACATAGGCCCATACACACAGGCTCCCTCAGCACACACACACCCTCATTCCATGGCAATGATATACAATCTCCTGCTCACCTACACACATGCAATTCCAGCACCCATAAAGAGCCAGACTGCCTTGGGTAACGCATTCACCAAAGGAATCTGTTTTCAGGCTCCCTTTGAAGCTCCCAACACTCCAAACCACATCCCAGGGAACGCAGACACCCTCTTTTGCTACCACACCAGGTTCCCTGGGGCAGGGCAGCGGTTTCTGATGCACGCTGTTGGTGTGACAGGTTGTGGAGCGGTGCCGTGAGCTGGGAGCAGCATCAGCACAGTACATCAGCGGCACCATGGAGGACATGGCCTTCGCCGAGCACGTGGTGAAGGAGGCACAGACCTCACTGGGTACGTTCATTGACAGCGGAATATTGCACCTCACCTTGGACATGTGCCTTTCTGCCATGTGCCTGCTAAAAGAAGCGGGTGAGATGGAGATAGGGTGAGACAGGAGGGAGTTTTTCCCCCTAATTCTGCCCCTTTCAGACCTGGCTTCATCACTCAAACTGAACTGCACTCTCAATTTCAGCTCGGTGCCCTCGTGACATCCTGTTCCAGTACCACAGCCCTGGATTTCATCACCCCCAGCCACTGGGTTCTGAAACCATCAGGCCCACAGCAGCCCTGCTATTGCGGTCATGGGTCACGGCTGTGGAAACGCAGTATTTCAGCTCTGTGTGGAGCACTCCTCCTCCCCGGGCCCACAGACACCTCCAGGGTGACCTCCCTTGCTCCACGGCACTTGTGTCTTGAACCAACAAAACCCCAAATCACAATAAAACATTTACTAGCAGCCACCATCTGGGCTAAACCCCTGCTCTAGAGATGAGAGACCACGGCTCTGACCCAAAAACCTGATTTCTTTTGATTACATTTACTCTGCTCCCAGGAACGGCTCTGATTTATGGTTGTAGCCCTTTCCCACCCAGTACTCATGCCTGTTCCTCTGCTCACAGGAGGCCTGGACATGCTGATTCTTAACCACGTGGGCACGTCGTACTTTGGCTATTTCGATGGAGATGTTGGGCACGTCCGAAAGCTCCTGGAGATCAACTTCCTCAGCTACGTGGCAATGACCGTGTCAGCCCTGCCCATGCTGAAGGAGAGCGAGGGCAGCATCGTGGTGGTCTCCTCCATGGCAGGTAAGTGGGAAGCGAGGTAGGTGACACGGGATGCAGTCAAAAGACACCGTGGGCTGATTTTCACACATAGCACACAGAGTCCATGCATTCTAAAGGAGCCATAACTGCTTAACACACCCAAACACCCCCACACACAACCTAAATCCGTATCTATTTTGCATTTTCTCAATGGAATTTGTTCTCTGATACAATCCAATCACCCCAGTGTGCTTTTTGACAAGCCCTGTAATTAAATCCCACATCCTGCTGTCAGGGCCATTAGAGCAGCAGAGCTCAAACACCCCCAGTTTTGGGGGAGGAAAGCGGAAACCCAGTGATTTCGCACTGCATCAGTTCTCTGCGTGTCCATCTGGTTTGGTAGGTCAAGTTCCTGCTAATATTTGTGGAGGGAGTTGTTGACTGACTCTATTCACAAAAACATGACTCTGTTTAATAGATTTCTGTTAAGTCAGGAAACTAAATTACTAACAGATGTCCCCCCTCCCAGCCCGTATGGTGGTTTGTCTTCTGATCAGCTCAGCATCCAGAGTTTAAACTTTGCTCCATCTCTCCCCCCTGAGGGTTTCATAGTTACTGCGGTCGCTCATACCCTGAGCAGGGACATGAGCCTCGGCTTTAAGACCTTAAAAGAGCTGGAAGCCTGTGGGAAAATTAACGCTGCTGTTCAGGTGCCAGGGTGACATTTTACTAACAGTAAAGTATGCTTCTAAAGAGTTCAGAGGAGGCCACGGAGATGCTGGGAGGGCTGGAGCAGCTCTGCTCTGGAGCCAGGTTCAGAGAGCTGGGCTGGGGCAGCCTGGAGAAGGCTCCTTAAGGGGAGACCTGAGAGCAGCTCCACTGCCTAAATGGCAAAGGAAACCTGGAGAGGGGCTTTGGACAAGGGCCTGTAGGGACAGGCCAAGGGGAATGGCTTTAACCTGCCAGAGGGGAGACTGAGATGAGCTCTTAGGCAGAAGCTCTTCCCTGTGAGGGTGCTGAGGCGCTGGCACAGGGTGCCCAGAGAAGCTGTGGCTGCCCCATCCCTGGCAGTGTTCAAGGCCAGGTTGGACACAGGGGCTTGGAGCAAGCTGCTCTAGTGGAAGGGGTCCCTGCCCGTGGCAGGGGTTGGAGCTGGAGGAGCTTTGAGGTCCCTTTCAATACAAAACAGTCTTGGATTTTACCCAAAAGGGAGCTTATCTGATGAAGGACAAAGGAGAGGTTCAGGCAGAGCAGCTTTCCATGCTATAACAGACCTTCACTCTGTGTCCAGGTAAAGTCGGGTTTCCTTTTACGGTCCCCTACTCTGCAACTAAGTTTGCCTTGGATGGATTTTTCAGCTCCCTGAGGCAGGAATTCCACATTCAGAACATTAATGTTTCCATCACTCTCTGCATCCTTGGCTTCATCGACACTGGTAAGATCAGTGCTGTTTGATCCAGGTGCTGAGCATCATCTCAGCTTCTCATCCTGCCCTTCAACTCCCTCTGCTTCTGATTCTCCCCTTTAACTGCTGCTGCTTCTCCTCTAGGCCTGCTCTAGGGCAAGTAAAACACGCTGCTCCTGGTGTGTGTGTGATTCTACCTCTCTCCCACCAAAAACCACCCTTATTGGTGGTTTTTGCCTCTTGCCCCATGCTATGTAAAGCCAGCCGCTACTACAACCTGCAATTCAGTTAGTGCAAGTGCTCAAGGCCAGGTTGAATGGGGCTTGGAGCAGCCTGCTCTAGTGGAAGGCGCCTCTGCCTGTGGCAGGGGCTTGGAGTTGGATGAGCTTTAAGATCCCTTCCAACTCAAATCACTCCGTTATTCCTCGTGCCACCCACCTCCCATTAACGCCATTGAGTGATGCAACAGCGGGTGGGAAAGCAAGCTCTGCATGCACCGGGCAGCGGAGGGGAGCCCAATCTCACGCATTGACTGTTTTCCACGCGCAGACCGACAGGTCCACGTTTAGCGTTTACAAGCCCTTCTTTACCGGCTTCTCGTCACCGGGACGGGCCCCTCGGTGGCAGTGTTCTCTCTCCCCGGGCTGAACCCCGAACCGGAGGTGCCTGTTTCGGTCCCCCCCGGTGATGCTGCCGTTCCCCCCTCCCGCAGACCGCGCGCTGCAGGCCGCCGCGGACGTGCTGCTCGTACCCCCGGCGCCGCGGGCCGAATGCGCGCTGGAGATCCTGAAGGGAGGCGCGCTGCGGCGGCGGGAGCTCTATTACCGGTACGGCTCGACCCGGCTCCCGCTGCTGCTGCGCGACTGCGCCGCCGAGCTGCTGGACCGCCTGGTGCGCAGCCGGTACCGGCTGGACCGCATGGGCAGCGGCCAGCGCCGGCCCCCGACCCCCGGTAACGGAGCTGCGGGCTCGGTGAACCGGTAGCTCGGGTTCCCCGGTGCAACACCCTCCTCTGCCGGCGGACACGGGTCCTGCCTGCGCACCGTGCTGGCGCGTCGGAGATGCGGGGCTGTGCGGGATGGGGAGGGGGGGTCCCCTCCCGGTATTCCCGGTTGAGGGAAACATGGGGAACGAGCTAGTTATGAAATAAAAGTCTCTAACCCAACTGTGCGTTCGCTGCGGGGTTTATCCCTTCTGCTCCACCATGATGCCCCCGACTCGCCTTCCACAGGGCGGCAGAGTCCTTGTGATAATCCCTCATTGCTTCATTTTGGGAGTAACTGCCTGTTGTGCATGTGCAGCCACGGCTTCACTCCTAATGTCCTAGCATAGGTCAAAAAGAAGGATTCAACTAAACTAAGGAGGAGAAAAATGACTGCTACTGCTGAACCCAGGACACTGCCCTTCAGCCTATTTTTTCCTGGCTTTACGGCCAAATTAAATGCACTCTGCTACCCAAATAAAACTTCCCAAACTTGGTAGATTACTACACAAACATAACTGGAAGATGCCTTCTAGATGGATGGAGCTGCTGCATTGATACCCCAGGCTAAGAGTTCAGGCACCATGAGTGATGCACATGGAATGCAAAAACCACATCCCAAGTGGGCTCCACACCACTTCCTGGGCACTGACAGCAGTGCCCAAGCTGATGCATTTACATCTCAAATGGATCCAGGCACCTAAGCACCATTACCTATCCTGAGATAAAGCAGTGTGCAGCCTCCCCAGACCCTTCCCATTGAAGCACTCCCCAGGATCTGTTTGCTTCTCACTTTCTAAGACAAACTCAGGAACCAGAGTTACTGTGCAGGTTATCCTGAGATCACCTACACAAACCAGCACATAGAGTGGATTTTGCCCTTTAAAAGTCTGGACTGGAGCAAGTCCAGAGGAGGCCACAGAGATGCTGGGAGGGCTGGAGCAGCTCTGCTCTGGAGCCAGGCTGAGAGAGCTGGGCTGGGTCAGCCTGGAGAAGGCTCCTTAAGGGGAGACCTGAGAGCAGCTCCAGTGCCTAAATGGCAAAGGAAACCTGGAGAGGGGCTTTGGGCAAGGGCCTATAGGGACAGGCCAAGGGGAATGGCTTTAACCTGCCAGAGGGGAGACTGAGATGAGCTCTTAGGCAGAAGCTCTTCCCTGTGAGGGTGCTGAGGCGCTGGCACAGGGTGCCCAGAGAAGCTGTGGCTGCCCCATCCCTGGCAGTGTTCAAGGCCAGGTTGGACACAGGGGCTTGGAGCAAGCTGCTCTAGTGGAAGGGGTCCCTGCCCGGGGCAGGGGTTGGAGCTGGAGGAGCTTTAAGGTCCAATCCAAACCACTCTATTGTTCCTGGCAGGACAAGAGTGCAAAGGGACAGCCTAAAGTCCACAGCACACTTCCTATTCATTAGTTTAATGTTTGCTGAATCACCGGAAGCAAAAAGGAGGGCCCAGCAGATACAAGCAAAAACGTGTGCAAGGTCAGAACCAGTTGAACACTGCCATCACTCCCCGCCTCGTTTGCAACCTACTGACACATCCACCTCCCTGCAGGCAGAGCTCTGGAGCTTGTCCTGCTCCTGCCTGCACTTCTGCAGAGGGATGGGGCTGATCCTGAAGATTTTGATCCCTTTGCTGGGACTGGTGCTGGCCTACTATTTTTATTCAGCTCCTGAGAACTTCAATGAAGGTAAGTCATTGGAAAAATCACATTTAAACCCACAACCAGCGAGGCTGCTGCCAGAGCAGCAACGTGTGCCCACATGGAAGAGCACTGGCTGTTGGAAGGGCATTTCAAAGCACACATGGAAAAGCTGGAGCACGGGAGGGCTGAGGGATGGGAGAGAAGCACAGTTAACACCCAGTGCAGGGGGTCAGAGCACTCTGCATCACACAGGAAAGCTCCTGGAATTACAAGTGGGTCTGCTGGGGTGCATGGTTGTCAGTAAATGCTCCATCCCTGGCAGTGTTCAAGGCCAGGCGGGACAGAGTTTTGGGTGACACGGCCTAGGGTGAGATGTCCCTGCCCATGGCAGGAGGTCAGAACTGGATGATTTTAAGGTACTTTCCAACCCGAACTATTCTATGATTCAACGATTCTGGTTTCAGCTCTAAGTTATTTTTCTCCTTCCTGGTAGCCAGTGCAGTGCCGTGTTTTGGCTTTAGTCTGGGAACAGTGTTGATAACATGACAATGTTTTAGTTGTTTCTCAGTACTGCTTACTCTGATCAAGGACTTTTCAGCCTCTAGTGCTCTGCCAGTGAGGAGAGGCACAAAAAGCTGGGAGGGAGAAAAGACAGGACACCGGAACCGAGCTACACAAATGGGTATTCCATACCACAGCACATCATGCCCAGTATAGAAACTGGGGGGAGGTACCCAAAAGAAACTGCTCAGGTCAGGCTGAGCATTGGTCAGTGGGTGCTGAGCAATTGCATTGTGCATCACTTGGGTTTTTTTTCCTTTCCCCCTTTGAGTTTTATATTCTCTCCCCTTGGTACTTCCCTTAGTAGTAGTAGTGTATTATACTTCAGTTGTTACGCTCTTACTTCAACCCATGGGGGTTACATTCTCACGATTGTCCTCCCCATCCTGCCTGAAGAGGGGAAAAGTGTGCAAACGGCTGCACGGTGCTGAGCTACCTGGGCTGGACTTAAATCACAACAGCAGCCTGATCTCTGTAAAGTATTTACTTAGGAAACATGCAGTTTCCCACTCTATTTGTCAACCCTTGCCATGTCCAAAAGCCCTCTCAGGCTGGATGCAGAGCTCAAGCCTCACACATGCTCCCCACCAAACTGGGATTAACAACCAGGGGCAGGGGCAGGGAGCAGTTGGGCTGTGCCAGCTCTGAGCTCTGCATCCTCCTCTCCAGAGATGCTCCGTGGGAAGCGGGTGATCGTGACCGGAGCCAGCAGCGGCATCGGGGAGCAGATGGCCTATCACCTCGCACGCATGGAGGCCCACCTCCTGCTCACGGCACGCACGGAGGCCAAGCTGAAGAAAGTAAATGGCAAGCAGAGCTTATGTCGGGCTGGCAAACCCCATTCACAACCCTGAACCCCACAGGCACACAGATATCCACCCTATCCTATGCATGTGGGGATGCCACGCAGCCCACAGATCCAGTCCACTGTCTCCCCTGTTCTAACACACCGACACCCCTACCACAACAAATTGTGTGGTCAAAGCTGAAAGCACAGCGTTTCCTTCTCTGCAGTCTTCAGCTGTGAATTCTGATCATCACCACTAATCTGCTCAGGGCCTGGTCTGATCAACCTTTGCCCTTCCTCAAAGTCTGAGCTGGTTTTGCATCCTGTATACAACAAATCAAAGTTGAGCAATCATATTCCTATTTATAAATAGGAAATATTTGTACTATTAACTCTGCAGCCAGAAACACTTCTCTGAGCAATGTCTCCTCCCATAAAGGGAGAAGGGCTTCCAGTGGGACAGGGTGACGGCTGCCCATCCACCCCAAAACGGAACAATCCTCATGGGATGGGGTGGTCCTTGGAGGGGATTCCATTGCCACCACTGTTCTCACTGTCACTGCAGGTAGTGAGGCGGTGCCTGGAGCTGGGCGCCGCGTCCGCCCGCTATGTGAGCGGTTCTATGGAGGACGCCACGTTCCCCGATGTGGTGGTGAAGGAGGCTGAGAACACCTGGGGTAGGTGCTTTGGGACAATCCCAGCCACCAAAAAGCTGGTTTGTTTTGAGATGCTGGATCCTAACAGCAAACTCTGCTTGCAGGCGGCCTTGATATGCTCATCCTAAATCACATCGGTTACAGCTACTTCAACTACTTTGATGGGGATGTTGGGCACATCCGAAAGCTCCTGGAGATCAACTTCCTCAGCTACGTGGCAATGACAGTGTCTGCCCTTCCCATGCTGAAGGAGAGTGATGGTAGCATTGTTGTCCTTTCATCCATGGCAGGTGAGCACACAAGGGGCCAGGCTCTCCCTGCCCACATCCCTTCCTCTGCCTGCAGGGGATCCCTGCTGTACCTCCTCTTCAAAAGACAGAAGAAGGACCATATAGCAGAAAGTTACAGGTCACTGGGAGTCAGGATTAGCATAGGATTTATCCTGGATGCACAATTTGAGTCCTCTGGGGGGGGTTATATTCCATGTCCTGTTCTGCCAGTCTCTTTGCATCCACTAATCACCTTCATGCACTGAAGTCGATGATACACCACTGCATGGCCACATATTACACACAGGAATACATACAGCAAAACACAAACAGTAGTGCCCACAACTGAAGGTACTTCATGCCATATGCGACATTTAAACATTCCTGCATTTATTTATTTCTCTCAAGCATTCATCACAGCAAACTCCAACTCCCTAAACCTCAATAGCATAGCTACTTGAAGGGCAAGAGGAAGGGAGAGCCACGCAGCCTGGTCTGCCCACTACACAAACCCTGATGTCTGATGTGTCTCTGTTCCAGGTAGAATTGGCACCCCATTTATTGCTCCCTATACTGCAACTAAGTTCGCCTTGGAAGGGTTTTTCAGCTCCTTGAGACAGGAATTCATCATGGAAAAGGTCAACGTCTCCATCACACTCTGCGTCCTGGGCTACATTGACACAGGTGAGCTCAGCATCACTGGGACCCCATGACAATGCATTTCCAGGCAGAGCCAAGTCAAGCCCATGACCTGCCCTGCAGCCCCAGGCTGCTCAGCACCTTGCTTTGCCACCACTGCTGGAACCCAAGCTGCAGGGGCTGTGCAATCATAGAAACAGAACTCCAGCTCCTTAAAGTGTGGTCTGAGAGCTCTGTCCCTGCTATCCTCGCAGTAAACCCATGGAGGTGGAGCTTCCACCCTGTGGTGACTCAAGAGGTAGAAAGGAACAGGAAGGCCATTGCTATAATTATAGTTTTACCTACTCTAAGTAGGACCGATGCTCAGTTTATTGGAGGAAGCAAGTGCCCACGGCAGCCCCTCCATCTGACACTGCTCCTCCCGTCCCTGCAGAGAACGCGGTGCGAGCGGTCTCGCACGCCGTGCGGCACAAACCAGCGCCAAAGGAGGAATGTGCACTGGAGATCATCAAGAGCGGGGCGCTGCGCCAGCGGGAGCTGTACTACCCAACCCGGCTGATGGGCAACCTGCTGCTCCTCCGGGCCGTAGCCCCCGACTTCCTCGACTCCCTCATCAGGGGCAACTATAAGGTGGAAAACATCAAAAGACCATAGCACCCAGGGCAGGGAGCATGCCAGGACACCTTGGGCCAGACATGAGGGGTTTGGGTGTTAATCTGGCTACTTGGGTGCCCTTTTCCATACCACCAGGACAGCCCCATGCTGATGCACCCTGGCAATCTGAAACAGCTTTAAAGAATCCCAGACTGGCTTGGGCTGAAAGGACCTTAAAGCTCCTCCAGCTCCAACCCCTGCCCTGGGCAGGGACCCCTTCCACTGGAGCAGCTTGCTCCAAGCCCCTGTGTCCAACCTGGCCTTGAGCACTGCCAGGGATGGGGCAGCCACAGCTTCTCTGGGCACCCTGTGCCAGCGCCTCAGCACCCTCACAGGGAAGAGCTTCTGCCTAAGAGCTCATCTCAGTCTCCCCTTGGGCAGGTTAAAGCCATTCCCCTTGGCCTGTCCCTGCAGGCCCTTGTCCAAAGCCCCTCTCCAGCTTTCCTGTTGGCCCCTTTAGGCACTAGAAGCTGCCCTAAGGTCTCCCTTAGGAACCTTCTCTTCTCCAGGCTGAACAACCCCAGTTCTCTCTGCCTTTCTAGGATACACCAGAAGTCAGTAACACACAGCATTAAAACATCCTTTTTAGTAGTGAACTCTTGGCTTTTTTCCGACCAAGAGGCTTCTTTAGAGAAGCTCCTGACAGCAGGATCTGCTGCCAGCATCCTGCTCACCAGCAGGTTTCCTGATCAGCCTTCCCACACCAAGAGCCACAAAGGCAGTGGTGCTGAGCCAAGGCCAGAATGAACAGCACAGAGCACCCAAAGCCTCAAGAGCCTCTTTGAACTGTGCCTTTTTCATTTGGTCATATATCCCTTCTAGGCTGGTCTTTGTAAAAATAAATCCTGTGTTACAAGATCTCTGCTTTTACTTGTGTTCCTTTCCAAAAGGCACAGAGCCCTTATCAGGGCCCAGCTGGTTAAACCCACCTCTCTGCATGATTTGCATTAACACAGCTTTCACTTCTCTTAAAGACCTTAATGAATTCCTGGCCATTGCTGACCTCTCCTCAGCTGCCCATACACACTTTTTTCCCCTTTCCAATCTGCAAAAAGCCTTAAAATAATAGCATTACTGTACTTCCCCAAGCTTGGATTTCTCTACCCCAAAGCAGCTCGGGGAGACTCAGTCATCAAATGCCACAAAAGCAGCTCCATGAACCAGCACCCAACCTGAGCCTGTTGGAGACCGCTGCAGGGAGATGGCCCAAAAGATAACTGAGCTCTGCTTAGAGAGAAACTGGGGACATTGGGGTCCCAAGATAACCCAAATCTCACAGCAAGCCTGGCCCCTGCGCCCCGCAGCCGGGCTGTGAGCAGAGACAGGAACCGGGGCTCGGCTGCAACGTTTCCTGTTTTAGAGCAGAGAGCAGCAGAACGAGGTGGTTGGCACAGAGATGGCAGTTGGAGCGTGTTCATGCCTGATAACACCCAGCTTTGCCGTGGACATTGAGGGGTAGGACAGGACCTTTGGGTCAGGTAAGTGCCCACAGCACCAGCGTGGTGAGGGATGGAGGGGAGCAGAAAACGCTGCGCTAAAGGCAGCGGCATGCACCTTTTTCTCCTCTTTTTGCCCCACTTTCAGCCTACACTTTGACAGCAGGAAGCTGTAACATGAACCAGCAAGAAGCACTTTTTTGTTTGGGGTGGGATTTTTGTTTCCCTTGAAGCAAGAAGAGTAACAGCTAGGAAAGCAAAGATAAAGGACGTGTTTGAGGGTAATTCAGGGTAGCAAAAGGAGGAAATAAGAGTATTAGCTTGTCAAGAAGGCCTTAACAGTTTGCTCAGTGTGGGGTGAGTAATGGACTGTGTGATTCTGTAAGCTTTACCTTGCTTTAAAGAGCATTTTTGGTTCACTGAATCTATTATGAATGCTGCTCTTGGGACGCACCGCACCAGGCTGGGCAGCCCAGAGAGGTGGGAGAGGGGCTGAGCTTCCTGATGGGAAGAGCTGGATGAGCAGGGATGGAGGAGGACATCCACAGGCCGGACTGAACATGCAATTGGGCCATTTCTAAAACTAAGAAAAAGTGGTTGAAAAACTCTTTTACAGCATCCAGAAGAGTTGGGAACAGTTTGGTTGTAGACACAGGCTCTGCCCCATGAGTATGGGGTTCATACTCAGCTTTAAGGGAGATGATCACAGGGCACTGTTGCCAGATCTTGCCTTGGCTTCTGGGCCAGGGAAAGCAAGTGTGCACCATGGGGAAAAGCCCTGGGTGAGCACAGTGGGACTGGTGTGGCACAGACATGAAAGCTGCATGGGAACAACCTGCTCAGCCTTTTGTACCTGCTTTCAATCTCTGAGAGAGCTGGGCTGGTTCAGACTGGAGAAGAGAAGGCTCCTTAAGGGGAGACCTTAAAGTGGCTCCAGTGCCTAAAGGGGCTCCAGGAAACTTGGACAGGGGCCTGTAGGGACAGGACAAGGGGAATGGCTTTACCCTGATCACAGGCTCAGCCCTGGGAGCACTGTCCTGGACGGGGGTTTGCAAACACCTTCCCAGCCCAGAGCAAGAGCTGAAGTACCCACAGCGAGAAGATGGGACCGGCAACCAGCTTTGAGCACACCACAGTTAGCACAAGGACAATAAAGGGGATTATGGAGCAGGTTTTATGCTTTCCAAAAAGCACAGAGGTATTATACATTTAAATAGGGGTTACTTGTTCCCATTTTTTTCCTCATTTGACTGAACTACTTCCTTATTGCTTGAGACAGAGTGACACCAATGAAGTTTTGATGGTTTTGTTTTGACACTGAAGGACATTTGAGTTGTCAGAAACTAAACTGGGTTTTCCCCCCTCCTTCCTACATTAATGGGATTTGCCAAACACAAGAAAAGCTCCAGACATGGTCAAAGCAGCTCCCAGGATGAGTCCCCCCAGGCTGGGCACCCTCTGAGCAATGTACATGGGATGCGCACAGGGATGATGAGCCTCTTTGCTGATGGGGTGAGGGGACAAGAGACTGGGACACAACTTTAACTCAAGGGGAGGAAGAAGAGCGCTTGAGGGTAGTTATTGCTCAGCTTAGTATGTTCTAGTGGACTTTGGTCATAATGCACTGGTGGCTTGCAACCGTGCAGAGAAGTCAGCAAGAGGGAGAAGGTTTCATATCTACACCCTGCGTGCACACGTAGATGGCTGCAACAGAGCTGGAATGGAGGAGCTCCTCCTTCAGGCCACAGAGACCCCAGAAATAGAGACAGAATTTGTGCCTGAAGCAAACCACTCAGAAATAAACGCAGCTTCTCAAGAGTTAACTCACAAACCAGCACTTCTGTTAGGACCTATTGAAAAAAAAAACCTGGCAAAAGAAATGCACACTTATGAGAAGTTCAGAGCAGAAACAGCAGCTATCAACAACAAGAGAAGAGAAGGCTCCTGAAGGGGAGACCTGAGAGCAGCTCCAGTGCTTAAAGGGGCTGCAGGAAACCTGGAGAAGGGCTTTGGACAAGGGCCTGTAGGGACAGGCCAAGGGGAATGGCTTTAACCTGCCAGAGGGGAGACTGAGATGAGCTCTTAGGCAGAAGCTCTTCCCTGTGAGGGTGCTGAGGCGCTGGCACAGGGTGCCCAGAGAAGCTGTGGCTGCCCCATCCCTGGCAGTGCTCAAGGCCAGGTTGGACACAGGGGCTTGGAGCAAGCTGCTCTATGGAAGGTGTCCCTGCCCGTGGCAGGGGTTGGAACTGGAGGAGCTTTGAGGTCCCTTCAACACAAATAAATTATGATACGATTCTATCACTCTTCCCGTGTTTCCACTTTTTTCTTTAGGTTAGCTAAAGAACTGTAACAGCATACCCAATAGAATCAGTTTGAATAACAGAGGGATTTTATCAGGAAATAGTCTCTCCCGAGGAAGCATCATTACTTGGTAGTGAGGCCTGAGGCTGCATTTGAAATCCTGTTCCTAGCATCCCCAGGTCAGCACCCACCCAACAGAGGGGCAAGAAGAGCACCATGTGTTTACACAGCCAACGCATGCAAGCTTACAAGCAACAGATTTCTCCAGGAACTTTGCCTGCACCCACTGCCCAAGGATTCCAGGATGAGCATCCGATAACTCATGTGCATTTACTCCTAGGAATAATCAGTTTGCACTCAGACCATGCCTTTCCCCTGGCTTTCAGCAGGTCAGAGGACCCCGGAGCGGTCACAGACACCATGATCAACCAGCCCCAGAAGCCACGGCCGCGGCGCAGGCACGAGAGCTACGATGAGAAGTGCGAGCGGCGGCACGAGATGCGGGAGAACCGGCGGCGGCGGCACAACGCGACAGCGTGCCGCCACACCGGGACGGGGACACCGGACCCACTGCAGAGCCCCCGGCAAAGGGAGTTCCTGAGGAGGAGGATCGGGGTGGATCACGCTGGAAGGGCGCCGCTGGGACAGCGCATCCCGCTGGATCCCTCTGCGCGGTTGGAGCTGAGACCATCCATCCTGCTCCAGGTAACCCGCTCTGGGTAGCATGCACTGCAGCACCCACACATCAAAGCACATCCAAAAAGCAGGACTGCACAGACCACAGTGTGCATTTCCTAACAAGCTGGGGAGTTCAGCATGGATAAATGCTGCTGCCTCCCTCCCGCTCCTCTCCTGGTTTCCACACCCTGAACCAGATGGAGATGTTCTGCCATTCCTCCCAGCACAACCCCACCTCCTAACTGCCAGACTATAGCTTTGCACTTACATAAATTACTTTTACCCTCGAAAACTGAGCTCTAAGCACCCGGCTTCCCTCCAGCACCTTCACTGTTAGCAGGAAGGATGCAGGAATGAGATTCCCTGGTACTCATCACCAGCCCTGTGCTGCACAGCTAACAATGACCCAGAGGGCTCACTGCCTGAGTAACACCTATAGAAAGAGGCAATTCAAAACACCTCAATCTCAGAGCCAAACAGATTTCCTTCTAAGTTCATAACCCATACAAAATGAACAACTCTCCTGGTAGGCTGCGAGTTCATCTTAGGGGCCCCACAACCCCCTGTGAGCAGAGGCAGTGGAACACAAGATGACTTCCACAGACGTGGCCTCAAGCTCCCTCTGTACCACAGGAGAGTTCAGAGCAATTACCTGCCTCCTGCTGCCATTCAGGTCACTAAACCAGGAGGTTTTCTCCCACTTCCTCACAGAGCTCTGGAGCCAGAGCAGCAGATCCTTATGATTTGCCATGGTTTCTTGGCATCTCCTTGCTGCTCTTCACCCAGTCACTGCAGGTACAAACACTGACCTGGCCACAGCTCCCCCCCTCCATTCCTCACAGCCCGTTCCTCAGATGCTGACTCGAGCTGCTCTCTCATTCCAGCACCCATGGAGCTGCCCCACATTCCCCCCTGCATTCTCCCCGCTCGGCCTCAGCATCCCCTGCAGCACTTCAGCAGAAGCCATCCCCAGGCGAGGTGTGAACACCCAAGGTAGGTGAAGGGTGCTTGTGTTTCTCTCCCACATCTCCATCAAGTAATTTGGGATGCTCCTCTCTAACCCAAGCTCCCCTGGCAGCAGCCCCACTCCTGCACAGGGTTTTACCACCCCAACCTGAGTTTCCCTGCACATGCCAGGAATACTCCTCCTGCAGAAGGATAAACCAACCCATAGCTTAACCATCAGTGCCCTATGGCTTCCCTGTGAGTGCCCCAGAGTATCCAGGGGCCTGGGGGATAACTTCAGTCTGCAGGATCACTTCCACTTCTCCATCCATCTGAGCAGGACTCTCCTCTGGTCCCTATTGAGTTGTGTTACTGGATGGTGTTTAAGCAGCAGTTCTCCATTCTAGAAGCAATGTCATCCGAGATGGACACCCAAACTGAAGAACTTCATAGCCCCTCAGGGAGGGGGGATCGTTCACATCCTCTCACTTTGCTTTC